TTTCTTTCTTTCTTTTTTTTTTTTTCCCTGGAGACAGAGTTTTTTGTTCTGTTGCCCAGGCTGGACTGCAGTGGCCTGATCTCAGTTCACTGCAACCTCTGCCTCCCAGGTTCAAGCAATTCTTGCACCTCAGCCTCCCAAGAAGGTGGGATTACAGGCATGTGCCACCACGCCTGGCTAATTTTTTGTATTTTTAGTAGAGATGGGGTTTTGCCATGATGGCCAGGCAGGTCTCAAACTCCTGTCCTCAAGCAATCCACTGGCCTTAGCCTCCCAAAGTGCTGGGATTACAGGTGTGAGCCACTGTGCCCGGTCTTGATTTTTTCTAAATAGAGATGCTGCTGTCCTTCATAATTGAAAATTGGCACTCATCTAAGCTATGAATCATGCTCACTTTAAAAGAGAATTTATCAATTACAGAATTATTCTTTCAGCGAATTGTTTTTAGAAGACTATCCTTATTTTAGAACTTGAGTCTAGATATTGTCTATACTTCTTTAAATAGAATTTACGTACTATTTGACTTAGGCACTATTTTACTTAGGACAATGAAAGTCAAATATCCCAATTTTGTTCTTGAAAGATACTTCACTGTCATAAAGCAAGAGGAGTGAAAATCATTCCTCATTTCAGTCAGATTTCATTAAAAGAAAATATATGATATAAAAGAGAAATGACTTTTCTCTATATACAATATCATTTCAGCAAACAAATGTGCTGGAGAAAAATGTAATCTATGAAGTATTGTTTAGAAAAGATAATACACAGTTATCTTCATTAGGTTGTAATGAGGGTACCAAAAAAACAAAAAGAAATCAAGACCTGGTATATTTTTATAGATTTTGTTCTCACTATAGCTGGAGAATCTTAAACGATCAAAGCATAATTTAGGATGTTATATTGCAATATAACTATACTGAAACATTTATTATAATATTATACTATTATAGTTGTTGACCTAAATAAATAGATTAACACATGCGGATGGACAGGAAGTGTTTCAGCTTACAAATGGCCCAATGATAAAAAGCTACAGAGGGAGACATTGGAACTGTTAGTTTTGAATCATAACTTGGTTATTTAACCCTTTGCATTTTCACAAAGACTTGGTTAAGTGCTTCTGATAGCTATTTCCATAGTATTATGTACTCTTGATAATTAATCCTAGCATTTATTATACTTTAATTTTTAGTAGTCTGATCTATCTATTTGTAGAAGTTGGAACAATGTCTACTTGCTCACTATTGCTATTCCACTACCAGGCAAAAACTTATTTAATGAGTTAATAAACACTGTTGTAGAGATAAGGATGGTGAGTCAAATAACAGACACAAAACTCAGTAAAGTTAAGTAACTTGCTTAATTTAGTGTGGTTATGAGTAGAGAAGAAAGCATTTCCATCCAGATCTTCTATTATCAGTCAAGTGCTCTTTCTAGTACTGATCATTCAAAACTATATTGTATTTCTGATGTAGACAAAATACGTTTGCACATACATTTCTGTGCATGAAAATCTGTGCATGCCTAATCTGAAATGTAGAAAGGATTTCTACAGGATTTGGCTAACACTAATATGTACTAAGTTATAAATATCATAATCAAGATGCAGTAAAAATAAGAATTTCAAACTCAAATTGTATTTCCAATTTTGTGCTAGATATCACTCCTTGGTTGTTTCACATATACCTCAGATTACACATTCCCAATCAAGATGCATTACACTCTTTTCTTTTACCCTCAAGACTTGGTACTTATCTTTTATTCCTTAGTATAGTTAATAACATTATCATCTACCCGGTACCTCAGATTTGAAACCCCAAAACTGCTTTTGGACTTCTCGGCCTCAAATTTTTACACTAAAAAATTAAAATAAAGAATTCACCTAGAACAGAGCTCAGTGCTAAAATTTATGGTCTTGATATTTGACTCAGTGGGAAAAGGCAAAAAGATTCATTAATTTAAATAAAAAAGAACAGATATTTGAAATTGGCTGTTGACATCACTGAATTAGACTATTCACATACTAATAAAGTTTTAGTGTAAGAGTTCTTGACTGGTGACACCTGCCTTTAAAGTGGTCATTATTGATCAATATAATTTCTAAAACCTTCACACAGCACAAAAGCTCATATTTGGTTTTCAATCATTCTTCATGTCCCTGGTGAAATGTTAGGTCTTCTCTACTCACCCTATCTAAATGAAGTTCCCCTGCTATTATTTTCTACCACCATAACATTTTCATTTCTTCTTAGCATGTATAGTATTTCAGTTATAATTATTAAATTAATGTGAAATTGTAATTGTTAAAGTGATTATCTACCTGTTTATTTTACATGTTGAGCATCCCTGTCTGAAAATATGAAATCTGAGATTTTTTGAGCACAAAGGAAATGCTCATTGGAGTATTCTGGATTTCTGATTAGGGATGTTCAACCGGCTTAAGTATCTGCAAATATTCCAAAATCTGAAAAAATCTGAAATCTGAAATCTGGTCCCAAGCATTTGGATTAGGGATACTCAACCTGTAATATATGACTAAATTGTAAACTCTATGAAGACAAGTAGTATATCTGTCACTGATATTAAAGCACTTATAAGAGCACCTAGTTTAGATTCTCTTAAGCAGTCTCATGACTTATGAGACTTTTCTTATTAGAAAGGTAAATTTCACTTCCTTCTGTCCTTTAATTTATTTTTTAAACATTATTTCCAGATGCCTAATTGGAATAGATTAACTCCTTTTAAAATATCAATATTCAAATTAGTTTCTTTTATTATATTAATATTCTAATTCAGCATTTAAAGTTTATATTAAAAATTACACCAAAGTGATAATTTTATCTTTGAGGTATACATTCTAGTGCTGATAAACATTATCCAAAAGAAGGCTGGGCATGGTGGCTCACGCCTGTAATCCCAGTACTTAAGAGAGGCCGAGGTGGGCGGATCATGAGGTCAGGAGATGGAGACCATCCTGGCTAACACGGTGAAACCCTGTCTCTACTAAAAATACAAAAAAATCAGCCAGGTGTGGTGGCGGGCGCCTGTAGTCCCAGCTACTCAGGTGGCTGAGGCAAGAGAATGGCGTGAACCCAGGAGGCGGAGCTTGCAGTGAGCTGAGATCATGCCACTGGACTCCAGCCTGGGTGACAAAATGAGACTCTGTCTAAAAAAAAAAAAAAAAAATTATCTAAAAGAAATATAATCTTATTCCTAGACAAAGATATAATGCTTTCTTGAATTCACTGTCAATTTGAACATCTAAGTGTTAACTAAGGAAAAAATATCAAGACAAGCCACTTGCTCTCCTAAAGTTCTGCAATAAGCAAATTAATTTAATGAATATTAACATTATTATTTTTCAGAATTTTACTTTGGTGAATTTGGAAGTACCAAGTGATTTTTCAAATTTTATTTACTATCCTCTTTGTAACTAAAATATAATTGCAAAGTTTTAAAAATACTCAAGAATTATGTATAATTAAATTTAGCTTAAAATATTTTCAAAAAATATTTATAATTTCAGCATATCATTAAGGAAAAAAGAGACTATACCTGGAATACTTCTGTATTCCCAGCTTTTAGGTCTTAGTATTCAGTGAACAAAACATCTTAAAGTGAACTTAACTTTTAGTTTTAAATATTTTCCAGACTTTACAAGTGAGTTTAGCTGGTACAACTGGATTTTAATGCAGTCAAGCTGTAAGTTACTTTGTTTTAATAATATAAAAGACATAGACGAGATTTTTTCCATCTAATTCAGGTTTTAAGAATTCCTTCCTTTAATTCATTTGAAAATGTAGCTTGCTGGCACCCAAATGGCATTGGCGTACATTTAATGTCTGCAGTGTTCTTACAGTTTAATGTTTATTGAAGATTTAGGACCTCAGTGTTTTAAATGATAAAATTAGTATCAGTTATTTTTGACATATATCTAAAAATAATGATATACAATGGTAACACTGGAAACATTGCTGAGAAGATTGTAACATGTAATGTAAAACAAATTGCACTATTCACATCAGAAACTGAGATCCCTTCTAGTCAAATTAAATTATAACATTCACAAAACTGATAGAAAAGATGGAATTGAGGAAGACAGCTATATGGTCCTTAAATTTGATGACAGAGGAAAAAACTATAATTTGAAAAATTAACTGTCAGAATCCTAGAACAAATTTAGTGTCTAACATCACGTCTTATTAAATAATAAGGAATGTTACTGTTTATCTTTGGTACCAATATTGCATCCATCAATCAGATAGAGAACTTGAAAGCACAAATGACTAACTTAATCAGGAAAGGAGCATTCCAGGAGAAAGTAGTCACAGCAGTAATAATGTCTGCTAGTTAATTTATCATATACACAAAGATGTGAGCAGCATAGAAGTGTCTCATCCTTTCCCCACCCCATACAACTCAGTGACAGACTATATAAAAAAAAAGACTAAGAAACTGCTTCCCTCTCCCAAAGGTTGGCATTAAAACTTTCTTTCTAATAAATTCAGATTTGTTTGCAAATATTAGGCAGCAACATTCCAAGATGAATATGTTTGAAAAAATTTGGAATGATACTAGAGCAGGGAGCTATCCCAGCCTGGACAAGTTTAAAGAAATCCCTTTGGTGACACAATTTTGTTAATCTTGCTGTTTACTGGCCAAAAGTACATTCATCCTCAGCATAAACAAATAAATTTACATCTATAATGATAAGTATACTAAAAAATAACAAATCTACAACAAAGAAACAGGAGCTACAGAAAGCAATACCCTTAGCTATGATGTAGGAGTAAAACATTTTGAATGAAATCTGTATTGTCCTACTATTGGCCTAATATGACAATTTGTGACACAATGGGTGGGAACTATCTCACATTTTTTCATTTTTCATAGTGTAAACTTGCATGCAATCCAACCTTGACAAGCAGAAGGAAATACTGGTTAGTTTTCCCAGATTACTATAGAAGAGTAGGTGTAAGGTGTGAAGCAACTGTACTTACTTTTGGTGTTGGGCAGGAAGCTGTAGAGAGGCGAGATGTAGCCTGAGCACGAGGCGATTCTGAAGGAGTAGTGCTGAGGGAGGCTGTGTCTCGTGGGAGCACCTGAACACCACGAGAAATGATGGAGTCTGGAATCTGAACAAGAGGAACAACTATGGTTTAATATTCTGAAAATGCCAATAACATGTAGAATCAAGACCCCCCCCCCCCTTTTTTTTTTTTTTTTTTTTAAAGCATTCTTTGCTGCTCAGCTCTGACATATTTGGTGTCACTTACTGTTAGGTATAAATGCATCCAACAACTTGAGATAGAATAGAAACTTTCAGATTTAAAGTATTTTCCCTGGCAAGTACCATTTCCTAAAACGTTTTAATATGAGAGGCAGTATAGTATTGTGGTTAGGAATAAAGGATTTGTCATTCATATACTTGCTATGCCATTTAATAGTTTGAAATCTTGAGCAAGCTATTTAATTCCTAGATATTTTCCATTTCCTTTTTAGATCAGTCTCCAACCATTTTCACCCTCTCTGCTCTAAGCTGACCTGTATGGACACCATCAACAAATTATTTTCTGCCCTGGCTTCCAGTTGGGTTCAGTCAGTGGAAGGCACTGGCAGAAGACTGTGAGTTGGGATAGGGTAAGGTCTGGCATTTATTCTCCTAGCTCCCTCTCTACCAGGTCATCATAGGTTGGCTGTGTCACTCAACTCAAGATCACAGCTTGTGTCAGACTGCCCTTCTTGCTTATAGCTCTTTTTCTAGATTCTAACAGCACTCCTTCCCTTTGCCCCATTAGGTAGGAGCATTAATGGTTCCCAGTGTTACTAGTCCCAGGCATTCCATGATGTCTTGTGGTTTTCCCTAAATTCTATTCAAACCTTTGTACATTCTATAGGTTCTTATTGAACTGTCCTCAATTACCTATTTAAGCATGCTATCTGAGTTCTGCTAGGAACCTGATGGATATACCTTTTGAATTGCCACTTCCTTAATCTGAAAATTGAGGATAACAATAGAATCTGCCTCACTGGAATCCTGCAGCGGTTAAGTAAAATAATGTGTGTAAATTATTTAGCACTTTCAAGTGGTAAATATTTAATAAGTGTTGGTTATTATTACTGTTATTATTATACCTATCATCATAGTAAAGACTGATGTAATTGTCACCATTCTAAAAATATACAAACATAAAGACTAATACTGTAGATTATTTTTAACATTATTAATATATGTTGATTATAAATTTATTACTTTAGGATTTGCATAATTTAGTTCATGTTCTGGGCTACCAGTAATGGGCATAAGTGTTCTAAGAATGGGAACATGAGGACTTTCAAATTTTGTGCACAAGACTTGAAACATATGATAAAAAAACAAGCAATTAACATTTAATCAACAGATATCACTTACTATGTGAAAAGAAGAGAGAAACAGCCAGACTTCGTGACTAAAAGGTATTCCTAATATTATGCATCATTTCTGTCTCATAAAACTAATACTATTTCTATAGAATCTCCTTTATTTAGTTTCTATACCAACATCCTTAATTCCAAAGATATTGCTACTATTTCAGTGTTTGAAATTTTATGTGGTTTATAAACAACATAGCCATAAGTAGTAGGAATTTTGAGAAGCAAGACGACTCCATTTGCTAACATATTTGAGTACTGAATTGTGACAAATATTTCTAAGAAATAAAGAAAGTCTAATTTTGAAGACCTATTTGTTGCCACTTATCTAATTAAAAAGGCCATGTATTTAAAAGAAAGTAAAATACCCATATAATGCCTTACATGACATCACATCCCTCTCCTTCACAGCAATGACCATATTTATAGAAAGTATCACAACATTTATGTGTGTAATACTTTGGTCAATGTCTATCTCCCAAATTAGAAAGCACTGTCATGATGGAACTGTGTTTTGCTACTATTGTATGTCTAGTATCTAATGAAGCAACTGCAAAAATAATGTCTCTCTGTGTGTGATATATATCTCCAGACTTATACACATAACTGCATATATACACTACATATCTTTGTGTGTATATATGCCTCAATGTAAATTTAAAATCAGGATATTTGAGGGAGAAGATAAGTTTAGATTTTGTGGCTAGGTACTTTTGGGCTACTAGTCTGGAGCTATTTGATGAGGTATATGGATCTGGAACTCAGGAAAAAGTTAGGACATGTAATTTCGGAATTATCAATGGCGGTAGTAATTTGAGTCATTCAAATGTGTCAGATCACCTGCAGAGAATATGTGAAAGAACAAAAGACAATGGTTGAAAATTTGAGGTAACATTCATATTAAGAGTTAAGAAAACAAACTGAAGGAAGATAAGATCTCTAAGATAAGGATATATAGGGTAACCATACATCTGATTTTTCCTTGAACAATCTGGGTTTATACCTATTATGCTGGCTTAATTATTAAACAGCATTCATTTTCAAAAGCATTCTGGTTCGGAAGATAAATTATTTGGTGTTCCTATCATAAGAAACTATTAGAGAAAAAAGAGGCAAGTAGAGATGGGTGAGTATCAAGGGAATGAAAAAAAGAAGACAGTTGCAAGATTTAAAAAAAAACAAATATGGGAGAAAATAGGAATAGAGAGAGAGAGCTGAAAAGAAGCCATTACATTCAGTTATTAAAGAAATTACCAGTAAAGTTAAAAATAGATGCAAATTGAGGAATTGAGTAGGCATGATAAAGCAAAGTAAATTGTGGGTAAAAGAGACAGACATTTATTACTACTATTACTACTATTTTTTTTGGTACTGCAGGAGAGGCCTTATTGATGAGAATAAGGGGAAGTAAAAGTGGTAAAGATAACTTTAGGAGAGCAGTAAAATTCTCAAAAAATGCATTGATGAATGAAAATGAAGGACAAAGCAAAAGAATTTTCAATTACCATTGTGGATCCAGTTAATATCAATAAACACAAATTTACAATTTCATTACATAGTCTGGAACAAATCTTCGCCCCAATGTTAAAAAAAAAAAACTGCCTATGCTGGAGATACAGACTTAGAAATTATTGCAGATATACAGTTGTTGAAGTTACAGAAAAAAATGAGATCCTAAAGATGAAGAGCATATAAGAAGAATATGTCAAGACAGATACTAGAAAAATGGGGAAGAATTAGACAATGAAGAACAGATGGTAGTAATTAGTTACCTGAGAGAAAATTTCATTATTTGATGAAGATAGAACCTGATTACAAGGGGTCAAGAAAAAACTGGAGGTAAGGAGAAGGAGTCAGTGAATATAGATTACTCTGTCGATAGACAATTGTATTGTTTTCATTTTGAGGACATTACGAAAAATGCCACAACCCATGGGTGTTATGATACCCATGTGAGTAAATTTCTGGGAGATATGTATATACACATGCACATTCAGGGATAGAATGGTTGGTTATAGGGTATGAATACCTTCTTTAAGAAAGTTGGTTAAGCCAATCTATACATCTGTCCACAAAGAACAGTTTCTCTTATTCTACAATTCAGTTCTACCCAGCATTGTTGGTATTATTCATTTTAAAAAATTTGGTGAGTAACAATATTGCGTTATGGTTTTATTTTCCCTTTCTCTGATTCTTAGTGAGAGTGAGCATCTTTTCATACATTTATCAGTCATTTAGGTTTTCTCTCTTGTGAAGTCGCCGTTCAAATCTTTGCCCATTTTTTCTCCTTATTTGGTTGTTCCTTTCTTACTCAAGTGTTAGATTTTAGTATTTATTCTGGATAACTAGTCTTTTATCAATTGTATATAGTGTGAATATCTATTCCTATTCTGTAGCTTGTCTTTTACCTTACTTTATCATGTCTATTGATGAACGAAATCTTTTAATTTTAATGTTGCTAAATATATCAATATTTTCCTTTATGTTTAGTGGTTTTCGTGTCTTAAAAGGAATCCTTCCTGAGTGACATCAGTGAAAATAGCAGAATAGAGAAATCCAAAATTCCATCACTCTACTAAAGCAGAAAATAAATTGGTAAAAACAGCCAGAATGAACTTTAGCAGAACACTGAAAATGAATAAAATGATTACAACCAGGTGAAAGGTTAATCAAGAAAAATAAACAAAAAAGGTGGCCCTGAAGACAACAGTCCACATTTCCAATACAGGTCTGTAGTACCAGAGGGAAAACACACCTTATTCTGAAAGAACTGTGGTTTTTTTTTGTTTTGAAATATCTTATGGCTTATTGAAGGACACACTCGAAGGGCTTGCCTTTATTTCACTTAACTCAGAATACTCCCAGGGTTGAGGTAGCTATTCCTTGGGGAGTGTTTGTTCAAATATTTAAAGGCAAATGTATTAGCCACTGTCATCTGGGCACGGAAAAACAGGACAAAAAATAGATAAAGTGAAAAACCTGTGAGTGAGGGCTATGGAATGAGGTACTTTAAGGCATAAGGACTCTGAAAAGCTCCCACGTATCCTTTGGACTCTAAAAGGTCAGGTTTATGTTCAGTTTATGTCCAGGGCTGGACATATCCTCAGCAAAGACCTGAGAAGGTTCTATTCTCTCACTTGCGGATAAACTTGAGGCTCTATACAAGCAGGAAGTGAAAGCTAATGAAAAGTTATAAATTGCCTGGCTGAGTGTTGGAAGTGTGACCTAATATATACAAAGAGCTCATCTGCAAAAACTGGGAGATTTTCTCTGATTTTTTTTGTTTTGTTTTTATTATTATTATTCATATTTTGGTTCCAGGCATGTAAGGAAATACCTGTCAAATAGCTAGCTGACTACTAAGCAAACAATAGAAACTTCAGAGGTTATGCACAACAAAGAAATACAAGCTAGAAAAAAGTATTTCAAAAAACGAACTAAACAAACAAATAACTACTACTGCTGAACAAGCAGCAACAAAAAGCCCCAGGGAGAGGGGAGAATCTAATTTCCAGAGTTGCTATTTATAATATTTAAATGTCAAGTTTTCAACAAAAAATTATGAAGTATGCAAAGAAGTAAGAAAGTATAACCTGTACAAAGGAGAAAAAAGGAAAAGAAAAAAGAAATAAACAGAAACTGTCTCTGAGAAAGTTCAGACACTGAGCTGACTAGACAAAGATTTTAGATTAATTATTTTAATAAAGTTTAGCTCAAAGAGCTA